TAGATATAGATAGGAAGATAGATAGGAAGATAGATGAATGATATAAGGTAGATAAGATGATGTAAGACAGACAGACAGATGATGATAAATATAGATATAGATGATAGAGAGAGAGAGAGAGAGATGATAGAGAAAGAGAGAGAGAGAGAGAGAGAGAGAGAGAGACAGACAGACAGATAGATAGATAGATAGAAAAAAATATGGATCATAAAATGCGGCAAAAGTCACTTCACAAATGTCTCACTTAAAAACAGACATTTTGGGCTCAATTTTGGGCATAAGAACTACCTGTACAGGTATGGGATTGTATGTTTCCCTATGTTTGTGTATATAATAATTATGTGGCAACTTCCCACTTTAAAAGAGTGGGAAGCCCCACCCCTTTTTAAAAAACATATGGTTGTAACCGGATCTTCCCTTTTTTAAAAAAACATCTCCCCTATCAGACACCAAGAACTAAGAACCACAAGTGAAGCAGTGGTGGGATTCACTGGTTGTAACAACTGGTTCGCTTCGCACACCCTCCGGAGGCCGGAGATGGGCCCATTTCCGGACTTCCGGTACTTCCTGTAGGTCTGTTTTTTGCCCTCCCCAGGCTCCGGAGGCTTTCCTGGAGCCTCCAGGAAGGTGAAAACGGCTTCCCCCTGCTACCGGAGGCCCTCTGGAGGCCCTCCAGAGGCCTGTTTTTTGTCCTCCCAGAGCTTCCGCGTGCACCCTGCACTTACCTGGCATCCAAAATGGGCCACATGGAGACTCCTGGGAGGAGAGGGGCGGGGTGGGTAGGGAACAACCGGTTCGGTGAACCAGATTAAAATTAACATCCAATTTGCCCAAACCGGTCTGAACCAGCTGAATACCACTCCTGAAGTGAAGTTACTTAAACGTAGCTTCCTTTATTGTTGCTCGCCTACAGACAGAATCTTGCCAAATTAACTTTGCATAACTACAGATGTAATTCTGGGAAGTGCTAGGGAGGAACCCGTCTTAATTCTCCTCCTCCCATCCAAATTATCTAAGCTTCGTTGCCTCTTTGCCCTCTGGAATGCAGCCCTTCTATCCTGCGCAGTGGTGAAATCTGAACCGGTTTGCCATCAGTTCTCTGGTGGTGCATGTGCGGTTTTTGCCAGATGTGCACTGCGCATGTACACATGTGCAGTATGTGCCAAATGCATGCTTCACGTGGAAAAAAGGAGGCTTGGGAAGGTAAGTAGAACAGCGAGGGGGCGGGGGACAGCTGTGCCGCACGATTTAGATTCACGAGAAAGCAGAATTGCTTTCTAGCACAGCTGATTGTTGGAAATACTGGTTCGGAGGAAACAGTAGCTTTTTTTTAAACTACCGGTTTGCCCGAACTGATAGCATTTCACCACTGATCCTGGATATCCAGACTACATGTTAACACACAGACACACAAACACACAGTCCCTGATGGTGGTCACATCAACGCAGGCAATTGGATCAATTCAGAATCATTCCATTTGGAATGATGAACTGAATAAATGAACTGAATAAATGTTAAATTAGGATTTATTATATAGTTTTATAGCGGAAGATTGTTTTGAAATGTTAGATTAATATACATAAAAGATTTGATTTATTATTATGCTAAATTAGGAGTTATTATATAATGTTATAGTAGAATGTCATTTTGAAATGTATAGTATAAGGGGGATATGATAATTTTATTAGAAATAAAGGGTCAGTATATGGGGATGGAGTAAGGGGATGGTAAAGTATTATATAATCTGTTATGAATTTGGGTTTTATTATGAAGAAGTCACAGGGGGAGGGGAGGGGGAGGGGGGGAGGGAGGAGGGGGGAAAAGGGGGAAAAATTTGTATTTGAAAAACTTTTTCAATAAAAAAAAAAGAAGAAGAATCATTCCATTCTGCTGGCATGACAGTTTTGGTATATTTCCTGCCTTAAGTGATAGAAAACTTTGCCCATAATTCTTAGCAATCACATCGCTGCCATTCAGTAAAAATTTGTGGGGTGGAGAATCACTCAGCCCATGTTTGGAGATTTGGTTCGTATTCTTGATTCCTTGCTTTCTCTCTCTCTTTTTTTTTTTCCTCCCCTTTTCTATCTAGTGGCTGGCAACTCAACCGGTTTTTTTTCTCTTGATTAGAAAGCACAAAAAGATACGTTCTTCTATTCCAGTTTTCCTCCTGCCTGACACTATTATGTCTCGCTTGTGTCGCAAGATGTAATTTTAATTTAATTTAATTTTAATTTTTTCACAATTCTGCAGAGGAATGTTACATCAGGCCATTGCAGGAAATTAAAATGGAAGTTCTCCACCCTGATATTTAATCAGTCTCGTCGCAAACTGCCAAGCTGAGATGCACCAGAAATTTGGAAGAGTCCTTTTTGCATGAAATTCACCAAAAAAACAGTCTAGGTACCAGTGCCAAAGTTGGACAAAATCAATTACCATCCTTTAATTATCCTTGCGTAAAAATTGGCCCAAACAAATTGCACAAAAAAATTTCTGTCTTTCAGCGTTCTGCAAAAGAGCTAAAGAAACAAATAATTTTACTGACCAAAAGAACGGACAAATTAGTCGTATAAAAGGGGAAATTAGAGGGACACAGTGGCTCAGTGGCTAAGACACTGAGCTTGTTGATCGAAAGGTCGGCAGTTCAGCGGTTCGAATCCCTGGTGCCGCATAACGAGGTGAGCTCCGGTGACTTGTCCCAGCTTCAGCCAACCTAGCAGTTCGAAAGCAGGTAAAAATGCAAGTAGAAAAATAGGGACCACCTTTGGTGGGAAGGGAACAGCGTTCCGTGGGCCTTTGGCATTGAGTCATGCCGGCCACATGACCACGGAGATAAATAATAATCTGCTCACTCGGTCACCTTTGGTGGATCCCCAAATTTAATATCATGTCTTGGCTTTGCGGGACGATGTGACTTTAGCCTACTAAATTTTGAATTGTGAGTCACCCAGAGTCATTTGCTGAGATGCGCAGTTATAGAAATCAATCAATCAAACTAACTAACTAATTAACTAACTAATAAATAAATAAACAAATTCAGAAGAAACTCCCATTGCATTTCATGCTGCGCTTCCTGAGGCTTTTTGCCATGTTTCATTTTCTCTCTCTTTGCGAGCATCATTTCCAAAATCGGCCAGCTTATCTTTTCATAGGGCACTGCAAGTTTAAATATCCCATTAATCAGCCGATTAATCTACCGCAATAAAAGAGTGCTTTTGTTGATTAATTGGCAGGGGAGTCTATTAATTGGTGAGGCTGTGGTGGAACTGGAGGCTTGTTTATTTCCTGGGATTCTTCCTACCTAGTGAGTTAATGCAACCGGGAATTACTCCGGTGAGTAACGGTAAAGGAATGTAATCACAAATGATCTTTCACTTTTTAATAAGGACTGGCAACGCTGCTAATTATGTTCCTAGAGCCCATCTGAAGGTGGACATCAAGTTGATTCTTTTCTACCAGCGTGATGAGTTGAGAAGATTGTCCAGAAGAGAGTTTCTCAATCTTAGCCACTGTAAAACAAGAGGACTTCAACTCCCAGAAGTCCCCAGACTGCCACGCTGGGATGTCAGGCGTGAAAAATCAGGACCATCCATTAAATTGCAGTCCGGAAGATTTATTGCTTGTACACAAGACTCTAGTCAACTAAAGTTCAACACTAAACTGGTGCCAGAGAAGGGTCAAAGATTTCAAAAGGGGTTGGGCTTAGAACCGTTTATGACAACATAATGACTCTAGGCTGATGACTTGCTTAACTCCACCCTTCTGCTGGCTGGGAAATCCTGGGAGTTGAAGCCCACGCATTTTAAAGTCGGTAAGATTGAGAACAACTGGGATCCCCAGGATGCGATTAGAAAAGTCAAGAGGATGAAGCTTCAAGTGGACCATTGTGGCTGTCATTGTGGCATTTTAATCACCCCTTTGTGGTCACCCCAAATTATTGATTCTTATCCACAGCACGAAAAAGATTGCTGGCTTACTGACTAATTAGATAGTGATAGCAATAGCACTTATATACCGCTTCACAGTGCTTTCCAGCCCTCTCTAAGCGGTTTACAGAGTCAGCCTCTTGCCCCCCAACAATCTGGGTCCTCATTTTACCGAGCTCGGAAGAAGGGAAGGCTGAGTCAACCTGGAACCGGTCAGGATCGAACTCCTGGCAGTGGGTAGAGTTTGCCTGCAAAGGTGCATTCTAACTACTGTGCCACCACGGCTTTTGATGATGACAATGATGTTGAACCTATGACACGCGTGGCAAGGCTCTTGATGTTGATGGTGAACCTATGACACGCGTGACAAAGCTGACATGCCACATGCTACAAACATTGGATAATACACCAATGTTTATCCTGGCATTTACCAGCACCCAGGAACTATTCTTGAAAGCACAACCCATATGAGCCGAGGTGGCGCAGTGGTTAGAGTGCAGTACTGCAGGCTACTTCAGCTGACTCCTAGCTGCAGTTCGGCAGTTCGAATCTCACCAGGCTCAAGGTTGACTCAGCCTTCCGTCCTTCCGAGGTGGGTAAAATGAGGACCCAGATTGTTGGGGGGCAAGAGGCTGACTCTGTAAACCGCTTAGAGAGGGCTGGAAAGCACTGTGAAAGTGGTATATAAGTCTAAGTGCTATTGTCCTTCCTTCCTTCCTTCCTTCCTTCCTTCCTTCCTTCCTTCCTTCCTTCCTTCCTTCCTTCCTTCCTTCCTTCCTGTGCAGTAGTTAGAAAGCAGCGTTGCAAGAAACTCTGCCCACTGCCGGCAGTTCTATTCCCACCGGCTCAAGGTTGACTCAGCCTTCCATCCTGCCGAGGTGGGTAAAATGGGGATCCAGATTGTTGGGGGGCAAGAGGCTGACTCTGTAAACCACTTAGAGAGGGCTGTAAAAGCACTATGAAGCGGTAGATAAATCTAAGCGCTATTGCTATTGTTGTACGATTTTCGTTTCTGGAGGTCTGTGCTGGACTGCAAGCTGCAAACTTTCATTTTATTCCATTTTATTTGCAGAGGGGGGGGGAATCATCAGAGAATAAAAGCAACGGAGAGACTGGTGAACATGTCCCTGATGGAAGCAAAACTATGACTCACCTACCTGCTTTTCCAGCAACCTTAAGCTTTTTTCTATTAGCTATTTTGCAGCCCGGGAGAAAAATGGATGTAAGAGCTCTGACAGGTGGGCTATTGTTCAGTACAGTTTTAAAAGGGAGACTAAATTGAGGCGCAATTGGCAGTTTAAGTCCCCCAATTGCAAAGATGCCGAACCGATAACGCAGCTTCCATCACGTTTGCAAGTTCAAGGCTGTATTTCTGCTCGCGTAAAAGATTTTTCTCTGCCTCTTTTTTTTTTTTGGTTTTTTTTTTAAGTACGGCGTCAACGTGATCATAATACGGTTGGTTGCGCAGCCAGCCAAATGTTTCGACTGGATTTGTCCGGCCGTCGAGCCCTTCCCGAGATAGGCAGGTGTTGTTATTGGTTGGCGTTTGTTAAAGATCTCGTCGCAGGATGTAAGCCGTTGCAAGTAGAGCTGCCTTCCGCCATTGACCGATGGGGATTTTGTCAATGCCGATGGTGCTCAAATGGTGCTCCAGATGTTTTTGGGCTTTCACCCAAGGGGGCCTGTCACTATTGGGGCTAACTTTGCTTTCTTTTGCCCCAGTGGTTCTATTTCTATTTGCAGGGTGTTTTTTTTTTTTTTGTATTCTCCAGTTCTTTCTCTTCTGTTCTGCTGTCTCCAGCTACTGAGACACGTCCTCTATCCAGATGTTTTTTGTCTTATTAGGGTCCATTCTGTAGTAAGTCAGATGTTTAGAATGGATTTGGCATTTTTTTAATCAACCGATTGAGTCTTCTATAAGTGGAGTTCTTGTGGTGCTTCCCGAGCTTGGCTTTTTTTCTTGCAGATATTCCCTTACCCAACTAGTGAATCCCACCCTCCCTTATACTGATGTCATGACTTAGTCAGGTCATGAAACGTCTGCAAGAAAACCACCAAGCTCACCGAGCGCCTAGGTCCTAGGATTCCACAGTTTAACCCTGAGCTACGAATATTGCTTTCTACAGGAACATCCACAAGTTCCTGAAGTTTCCATTTAGAACATCGGGCCAGCTGCTGTCCAGCCTCACCAAACTTTCCCCCCCCTAAAAAATGTTGGCCAAATTCGGCTATTTGAAATCGGCTGAAGCGAACGTCCCCGATTTTCTCCTGTCCCATCCGAACTAGCAGAACTGCCAAAGACCTTTAGCGTCGTGTCACTTCTGTTCCCACGAAAGCTGACGATCCATCTTTTTCCCTTCCACATCTGTGCTTGCTATTCATCCTCGTCCATTGTTGAGGGGCGGAATTTCATTTCCTCTCACGCTCGCCCCGGCCTTGATGTCTTCCTTCCCGCTTTTTAAAGACTTCTGACAAAGCTTCCATCTGCCGGCCTCCTCTTCTTCTGTCAGGGCTCTGACGGATCCCTTTTTTTCTCATCTAACCCCTTCCTGCACTTTCCCCCTTTGTTCTTCCCTGCACATTGTTCCCCACACACAATTGGAGGGGCTGAACGGAAGAAGGGTGGAGAAAGGATTTTCCTCGACCCAGTAAAAGAGGAGGCCAGCCGATTCTCCAAAGCACCTGAAGGCAGGACGAGAAGCAATGGATGGAAACAGTGGTGAAATGTAAAATTTGTTACTACCGGTTCTGTAGGCTGAAGTGGTTGTAGAAAAAATGCTTTTAAAAGGCTCTGACGATCCCAGCTGAGCTGCGTGATCATCAGAGGCTCTGATGATCCTCTGGGCATGGTGGTGGTGGGTGGGTGGAGGGATTTTTGCTACCAGTTCTCCAAACCACCCTCCGCCATCGCTACCGGATCGGTATTGTTGTTGTTGTTGCTGTTGTTAAGTCTCACACAGTCTTGCTGTCAGGGTTTCGAAGGATGTCCTAATTAAATCATGAGCCTCGAGCCAAGCTTCAAAAGAAATCCAGTTATTTATTAGGAGCTTCATGTCGGCACGTTCCAAGTGAAGCCAACTCTGACCCCACGTAATTTACGACCAAAGCATGACCCTGTTTCCCGCCCTCACCCCAGGGTATGTCATCAGTCACATTCACCAACGGAGCAATTTCACGGGTTGTAAAGATCACTCTCCTCCGGCTGCTGTGGGTAACCCTGGGAGACAGCCTTGAGAGAGATATGTCTGGAATGTGCTTTTGTTTTTGGCTGCCGTGCTGCTTCGCCGGTTTTCCCATCCCCCTTGCCTATGGCAACTCGAGAGCAGGCCAGGGATGCTTTGCGAGTTGACACTTCCATCACTGCAGGCTTTTAAGAAGAACCTGGACAACCATTATCCGGAACAGTATTGGGTCTCCTGCTTAAGCAGGGGGCTGGACTAGAAGTCCTCCCAGGTCCCTTTTGACTCATTCTGTTATTCAATGGGGGACCAGAACAGGATTCTGCAAAAGCCAGTTGTTAAAAAAATCCCAAACTATTTCATTTTAAACGACCCAGGTTCCCAAAACTGCTAATTTGCCCTCTCTTGACAGATTTACGGAAGATTTGATGATTCAATGCAAGCATTTCCCCTTCCCTCTCCCTCCCCTATACGACGCCAGGAGTATCGCACCCCAAATTTTTGCATTCATTTTATCCTTTGTGAAAAGTGACAAATGGCCTGGTGCCCTTTCCCTGCCCTCTTCCCCCCCCCCGACAGCCGCTCGCAAGATTTATGGGTCAGCCATAAAAATGAATTTATCTCTCGTGAAATATAGGGAGATCGGGAGGAAATGACAGCCCCGTACAAATGGAGCCGTGTTGCATGTGCCGAAAAATTATAAGGAGGGAGAAGGCAGGAAATGTGTCATCTTTTCAGAAACTGCCATTTATAACTGTAAATTAAGAAGCTTCGTTCTCAGCACAAAAGCTCACATCCAGGTCAGGCTGGCAACGGGATTGACTGAAATGCTGGTTTGGAAATAGGGGAATTGATCAGGGCTGGGCTTCAAAAAGTTTAGCAAGGGGTGCTCTGCCCGGTTGCTGGGTGGGCGTGGCCATGGTGGGCGTGGCCTAATCAGCCTCCTGCATCACAGTGAAGCGGGATGCTTTTGCCCTCCCCGGGCTCCCGAGGCTTTTCTTGAGCCTCCGGGAGGGCAAAAACAGCCTCCCCAGGCTCCAGAGGCCCTCTGGAAGCCAGAAACAGGCCCATTTCCAGCCTTCCCAAACTTCCAGTAGGTCCATTTTTCACCCTCCCCGCACCTCCGTGCGCACCCTGCATCCAAAACGGGCCACGTGGGGACTCCTGGGAAGTACGGGGCAGGGCGGGGTGGGCGGGGTGAAAACCGAATCCGTTCGGTTTTAATTTGAAATTGGTTTTAATTGGGTTGTTTTAAATTGTGGCGCGAAATTATTTAATTACCTTTTAAACTGTTTTTTTTAAATTTTGTATGTTCTGTTTTATCTTGGCTGTTCACCGCCCTGAGTCCTGCTGGAGAAGGGCGGTATAAAAATCAAATCAAATCAAATCAAATCAATCAATAAATAAATAAAATTTATCCTCTGCCATTCTTTCTCCTCTCTTCTGCTGTCTTTAGGTCCTGCCATGGTCCATCATCCAGACCATTTTTGCGTGTTACGTGGTCCCAAAAAAATGCGCATCCGTTTTCCCATCTTCTTGCGACTTTTATCCTTTGCTTTCTCGCTCAGCCGGGGATGATGACAAATAGATGCCTGTTTTGGTGATCCAAACAGGAGAAGCAAAGGCTGCCAGGCACACCTTCCCCTCTTCCATCTCAGTGGCAAAAGCTCTGGAACAAATACGCCATCGATCAAAGAAACTCTGCTTGCCAAGCCAGGAAGCAGCATGGGACAAGCTGCGCATAGAAATGTCCTTTTTTCACGATCTTTCTTACAACGCAAAGGGCTTAGAGAGGTCAGAGGAGGCCGTGGTTTTTTTTTCCCCAAAGTCTCTGGATTTGTTCTAGCGGCTGACCAAGAGAGCCTAGAACATAGAATAACAGATTTGGAGTCTTCTAGTCCAGGTCTTCTACTACTCCGCTACTTAAGCTGGAGAACCTGTTTTACCTTATTTTTGTTTTTACTGGTTTCATTGCAATTTCTGAGATCTGTCTACGTGGTTGCTAGGAGTCAAAAATAACTTGAGGATAGCACATCATCAATCAACCAGTCAGTCAATCAATCCTGGTGATTCACTCTAAATCTCCCAGCTGGCGTTTAGGCCTACGGCGGGATTAGAACTCACAGTCTCCTGGTGATTGACCCAAAGAAATCCAGCTGGCTTTCATGCCTAAGGAGAGACTAGAACTCACAGTCTCCTGGTGATTGACCCAAAGTCACCCAGCTAGCTTTCATGCCTAAGGAGAGACTAGAACTCACAGACTCCTGGTGATTGACCCAAAGTCACCCAGCTGGCTTTCATGCCTAAGAGAGACTAGAACTCACAGTCTCCTGGTGATTGACCCAAAGTCACCCAGCTAGCTTTCATGCCTAAGGAGAGACTAGAACTCACAGTCTCCTGGTGATTGACCCAAAGTCACCCAGCTAGCTTTCATGCCTAAGGAGAGACTAGAACTCACAGACTCCTGGTGATTGACCCAAAGTCACCCAGCTGGCTTTCATGCCTAAGGAGAGACTAGAACTCACAGACTCCTGGTGATTTTCCCAAAGAAATCCAGCTGGCTTTCATGCCTAAGGAGAGACTAGAACTCACAGCCTCCTGGTGATTGACCCAAAGTCACCCAGCTAGCTTTCATGCCTAAGAGAGACTAGAACTCAACACATCTCACCCTTGGCAAATACCGCTAAGATTTTGCTTAATGGTAAAAACGGCCCTGGTCCGTAGGAACCCAGAGCCCGGTGCAGCCGATACAACAAGGAGATAATAGCAAGACTATGAAATAAAATGCATATTTTCCACCCCGGAGGAAAATAATTAAAGGAAAGAAAGCCGCTGGGAGAATTAACGGAGCTTTTGCATTACTGTCAGAGGGGAAGGAATATCTAAGAGAAATAGTGAGCTCATTAATAAGCCGGGCAAGGGAGATTAAATTAATGATAACGCCAAAATGCCCTTGCAAAATAGGAAGACTATATGGAGAACCGAGATGCCTTTTTTTTTTAAAAGAGAAAAACATAGGAAAAAAGCAAAAAAAGAAAAAAAAAGTGCAGCTTTAGCCTAAATATGCATTCATAAAATCTGGGAGGGGTTGAAGTCCTGGGGAGGGGAGGGGGTCTGCGGTGGAAATAGAAAATTAAATGATTTTACCAGAAAAGGCAATTTAAAAATTAAAAATATGAAAGAAAGAAAGAAAGAAAGAAAGAAAGAAAGAAAGAAAGAAAGAAGGAAGAAAGGAAAGAGAGAAAGGAAGGAAGGAAGGAAGGAAGGAAGGAAGGAAGGAAGGAAGGTGAATTAAAGCTAAAAAAAATCACAGGAAAAAGTGACTGGCGGAAGAACGGGGAATGACTAAAAGATATAACAGTCATTTAAAAGCTATCCAGGTCTTTGGGCTTTATGATAAATCTAATTAAGAAATCTATTAAGATAATGGAACAGAATGCCATAATACAGTAGAGTGGTCTAGAAAAGGGTTATGCACTTTGCATGATTAGAGGCCTCCGGCTAAGTTAAATAATGGAATTTCTCTTTTCGGTCCCAAACTGGATTCTGGAAAAGTGTTCCCAATCCTTGGACTTGGCAATTTGCAGAATGGTGGGGTTTCATTTCCCATTTCCCCCCTTTTTAAATATTGTTTCCTTATTTAAATGTAACTGCCTTGCTTAGCATTGGAAATTCTGGTCCTAATTGGGTTTGTAAATTGAGGACTACTTGCATTGAAGATTTCACCAAAGATCACATTTTTCCTCTTCCAGTAATACAATACAATACAAATACAAATACAATACAATACAATACAATACAAATACAATACAAATACAAATACAAATACAAATACAAATACAAATACAATACAATACAAATACAAATACAAATACAATACAATACAAATACAAATACAATACAATACAATACAATACAAATACAATACAAATACAATACAAATACAAATACAAATACAATACAATACAAATACAAATACAAATACAATACATTACAATACAATACAAATACAATACAATATAATACAATACAATACAAATACAATACAATACAATACAAATACAAATACAAATACAATACAAATACAATACAATACAAATACAATACAATACAATACAATACAAATACAATACAATACAATACAATACAAATACAATACAAATACAATACAATACAATACAAATACAAATACAAATACAAATACAATACAATACAATACAACACAACACAACACAACACAACACAACACAACACAATACAATACAATAAAAAGGTAAAGGTAAAGATTCCCCTTGCACATATGTGCTACTCGTTCCCAACTCTAGGGGGCAATGCTCATCTCCATTTCAAAGCCAAAGAGCCAGCGCTGTCCGAAGATGTCTCTGTAATCATGTGGCTGCCATGGCTCAACACCAAAGGCGCACTGAACGCTGTTACCTCCCCATCAAAGGTGGTCCCTATTTTTCTACTTATCTCTCTTAATGGGGGCGCAGAGATAAATTTTGCAGCATTGGCAAAAATCTATCCTCCTTTTGTTTAGTCAAAGCACTTTTATCTCCTATCTTCGCTAAACACACACACAGCCTTTCAAACACAGTCAATGCGGATGAAAACTTTGCTCTGTAGTCTAAAAGAAATGACACCAAAGGACAAAGGAGAGGAGGAAGAAGGAGGAGGAGGAGGAGGAGGAGGAGGAGGAGGAGGAGGAGGAGGAGGAGGAGGAAGAGGAAGAGGAAGAGGAAGAGGAAGAGGAGGAGGAGTTATTCAGAGAGGAGATTGATAGAAGGTTTAAAAAAAGAAAAAAATATTGGAAGAAAACAAACGCCAAGAGAATTCTATCATGGGGATCCATACAGTCCCTGATTTAAACGATCAACATCTTTGACTTTTTCCCCTGCTGGGTCTCGAGGCTGAATTCATAAAACAACAGTGACCCATAGGCAACTGAGTCAATGTCCTGAGTTAAACCAGTTGGTCTTCTGCCTGATGGGTCTCTCGGTTCTTCCATTCCGGTTGAACTTTTAGTCCATCCAGGTTCAGAAAGATGGCCCTTGTATCCCCTGCTCTCCTCTCTATGAGTAGCCAGTAATCATTTCTGGACAAAGGAGGGTCCTCCCTTCCCTTCCCTTCCCCTCCATTCTTTCTTTCTTTTCCTTCCCTTCCCTTCCTTCCTCCCTTCCTTCTTCTTCCTTCCCTCCCTTCCCTCCCTTCCCTTTTCCCTTCCCTTCCCTTCCTTCCTTTCCCTTCCCTTCCCCTCCATTCTTTCCTTCTCTTCTTCCCTTCCCTTCTTCCCTTCGCTTCTCTTCCTCCCTTCCCTTCTCTTCCTCCCTTCCCTTCCCTTCCCTTCTCTTCCTCTCCCTTCTTTCCTTCTTCCCTTCCCTTCTCTTCTTCCCTTCCCTTCCCTTCTCTTCCTCCCTTCCCTTCCCTTCCCCTCCCTTCTTTCCTTCTTTTCTTCCCTTCCCTTCTTCCCTTCCCTTCCCTTCCTCCCTTCCCTTCCCCTCCCTTCTTTCCTTCTTTTCTTCCCTTCTCTTCCCTTCTTCCCTTCCCTTCTCCTCTTCCCTTCCCTTTTCTTCCTCCCTTCTCTTCCCTTCCTTTCTTCCCTTCCCTTTTCCCCTTCTTCCCTTCCCTTCCCTTCTCTTCCTCCCTTCCCTTCCTGTCCCTTCCCCTCCCTTCTTCCCTTTCCTTCTTCCCTTTCCTTCTTCCCTTCCCTTCCCTTCCTCCCTTCCTTCCCCTCCCTTCTTTCCTTCCCCTCTTCCCTTCCCTTCTTCCCTTCCCTTCCCTTGCAATTTGCAGGAGCTCCAAATACTTTGGTGATGGAAAGGATGCCCCCCCACTTCCCTCGGGGCAATCAGAAGTGCAGCAAATGAGCATGATGGAGAAGAGCAGAGGGGCCTTTTTAATGATCTTGGAAGGAAAGCTAATGAGGTGGAGAACTTATTTTGTTTCTCATGGTTCATCTTTATACAAACTGCTGACCAGGTTCTGCGGATGGTCCTAGTTGCCGCCTTTGTCCAAAATGCTAAGCTTGGTTCATGTCAACCCACCCAGGGCCACCTTAGCAAATTAGCAAAATTTAATTGGGAGAGTAGTTTATGTTTCCATGGTCAAATCCCAGCTCAGAAAATGGATTAATCTGGTAACCGGGTTAAATGCATTCTGTGAATATAACCAACATCTGCAAGAAAATAACCAAGTTCAGAGAGCACCAAGGACCCCAAAATAATTGTACTCCTCTCTTCCTCCTCCTCCTCCTCCTTCCTCCACTCCACAAATCCCACTCCCTTCTAGCACTGATGATGTTACCTAGTTGGGTGATGAAATGTCTTCAAGAAATCCTCCAAGCTCAGAGACCACCAAGGACCCCACAGTTGACTCCCTTGAGCTACCAAATATCCTCTTCTCTCGGTAATTGGTTTCATTATTCCCCACCCGGGACCGAGATCTGTCAAATCATCTTTTAACCCTGATCAGGATTGGGATGGCGGCGGTTGGAACATTTCCATAATTCATCCCGCCGTCTGCAACTTTCCCACAC